CAGCTGGAACTCACTATGTAGACCAGGCTGGCCTTGAACTCACAGAGATCTGCCTGCATCTGCCTCCCAAGTACTAGGACTAGAGGCCTGCATCACCATGCCCAGCTGCAGCCAGTGCTCTTAACCACTAAGTCCAGCCCAGAAGGATTTCTTAAAATAGCCTCAAAACTCACACATGCCTGGTGCTGTGACTCTGGCTGAGAACCCATCGTGGGAGACCCCACAGGCCCCAGGATGAACGTACTACTAGTATTCTGCTAAATGGATACAGTATCAAACTGCCGCTAACTGTATATCTATCTATACCCATACACCATAGATCAGTGCAGAGCTCATCAAAGAGGACCTTCTTTGTACAGTGGATGGTGGTTAACGCAGAAACTCACAATTGGTCAAAGTGTAGAGAGTAAGTGTCAGTGGAGTACTCAGCCACAAATGGGAGCTCACTATCACCCGCCCCTTTCCCCAAAACTCAGAAACCAACAGGGAAGAGTGTAAGAACCACAAGTCAGGGAGGACTGGAAATGATAGGACCACTACACTCAGGAACTCATAACAGCTTGGCTACCTTCATAAGACCAAGTCAGTCAGCATTCTAGCATGGAGCGGGAAGGGGTTCAGGAGCCCCCACCCCTACCTGAGGAGCTGTGGACAGTTGATGGCTTCTGGGAAAGGGAGAGTCAAGTTTTCTTCAAGAGTGTGGCTTTTTTTTAATTTATTTTTAATTTTATGTGTATAAGTGTATTGCCTGCATGTATGTCAGTGCACCAGAAGAGGGCAGTGGAGCCCCTGGAACTGGAGTTACAGATGGTTGTTAGCTGCCATGTGGGTGCTGGAAATTGAACTTGGGTCCTCTGCAAGAGCAGCCAGTGTTCTTAATTGCTGAGCCATCTCTTCAGCCCCAAGGGTGTGGCTCTTGTAGGTCAACCATGTTCCAGTAAATGGTCCCACACCCAGTAGTATATGGGCAGCACAAATTGGAGTTAACAGGTTATTAAAAGGACAAGAAGTTGTGGGGGATAAATAGGTGTGGATCCTGGGGGACTCAGGAGAAGAATGGGTGGTTGATATGACCAAATACATTGTATAAAATTCTCAAAGAATTAATTTTTTTAAAATTTGTTGTTATTTTGAGACAGGGTCTTCCTGTCTCCCTATAGCCACAGATGGCCTGAAACTTGCTATGTAGATCAGGATGGCTTCAATCTTAGAGATCAGCCCGCCCCAGCATCCTGAACTCTGGTATTAAAGACATGTGCCACCATGCCCAGCTAACAAAATATATATATATTTTTTTTTTTATAAGGAACTACAGGAGGTTGGAGGGATGGCTCAACAGTTAAGAGCGCTGGCTGTTCTTGCAGAAGACCCGGGTTTGAATCCCAGCACCCACATGGCAGCTAATAGGGGATCCAATCTCCAGTTCCAAGAGATCTGATGCCCTTTTCTGTCCTCCTAGGCTGGGTGTGAACTGTCAGTCCTCCTGCCTCTACCTCTAAGTGATGAGCTACCACAGTCAGTCTTTTATTTTGCATATAAAGGTTTTTAAAATAGATAAACCACCTTTAAAATTTTTTATTTATGTGTATGTGTCTATGTGAGTGTATGCAGTGTGTGTGTGTGTGTGTGTGTGTGTGTGTGTGTGTGTGGCAGAAGAAGGTATAAATTTCCTGGAACTGGACTTACAGCAGTTATGAGCTGCCCAGTGTGGTTGCTTGGTATCATAACACAGGACCTTTGGAAGAGCAAGCAAGTACTCTTAACCACTGAGCCATTTCTCCAGTCCAGTAGATAAACCTGCTTTTACTTGCTGCACAAGGAGGAACAGATGACATTAGGGGAAATAAAAGGCTTTGCCACTCAACAGCCCCAGGCCTATTCTCAGATCAGACAGCAGATACACTGAGTTCTACAGTACCCGAATCCCTCCAGACATCAAATCCTAAGGACTCATTAGTTTAATCTCCAAAGACCTGTGGTACATGAGTAACTTTAAATCACTCACAAAGCGTTGCTTCAAAACCACGGATCTGCTTCACTCACACTTAGGAAATCAGCCTTGATCATTTCCCTTTACACATTTGAGTCAGTCTTTGAAATAGGTTCAGTTAGTCGGCTGACAGAATCTTCCCTGGTCTCAATAAAACCATGAAATTGTGATAACATGTCTCAAACTTATGTTTCATTTCCACTACTTGGTAAAGATCTAACCAAAATGCCCTTAGACATAAAAACTACAAAAGGAAGTTGTACTGCCTTGGCAGGCAGTCTGCAATTCACTTCATCACACCGTTCTTTGCATTTACTGGAACTCTAAAATCCTCTTATTTTTTCTGAATAATGTCCTTGTGAGCCAGTGAGATGATTTAGCATTTAGAGGTGCTTACCGCTAAGCTTGACTACCTGAGTTCCATCCCAGGGATCCACATGGTGGAAGGAAGAACCAACTCCTGAAAGTTATCCTCTGATCTCCACATGTGTGCTGTAGTATGTGTTGATGTATACACACACACACACACACATATACAATAAATAAAAATGTAGCTGGGGGTAGTGGGTGAAAGAAATTGCTCATTGGTTAAGAGTATTTTGCATTCTTTAGCCCAGGATAGCCTGAAACTCACTAGTAGCACAAGCTAGCCTTGAATGGTGATCCTCCTGCCTCAGCCTCCAGAGGGTTTCAACTGCAGGCACAAGCCACCACATATTGCTACTTTTTGGTTTTGGTTTTTCAAGACAGGACCTTCCTGTAGCCCCAGCTGGCCTTGATCTCACAGATATCTACCTGCTTCTTCTCCTAAATGCTGGGATTAAAGGTGTATGCCATCACACCTGGC